CACTTTTCTGTTTTGTGCCGTGCAAGTTATGTTAAGCAATTGAAGGTTCTGGAAGCTGTATGTATTCGTGTGCATAATCCTGTTCTTTGTAAACAAAAGAAGCACGTAGTCGCGCTAAAGTTGTTCTCGTAGCTGGTTATCAGATGTAAATGTTGTGTCATGTTGCACTGTATCACCTCTTGCTTTGTGGCTGCACTCAGTTATATACGTTAGCACTATGTTTGACACATATTATGTAATGCTGTAGCACTTCCTTTGTTGTTCACACTTTTAATTAATTATGCTGTTATAAAATGTTCTATTTTTGTACACAGTACCCTCAGTTCCGATACTATTCACTGATGAGCGGAACACGAAAATCGATTTTGAATAACATAAAAATCCTTAAAAATTCCATGAACTCGTTGTTGTCTGGCCATGTCTGCATCGATTATACTCCTAATTGCACTAATAGAGTATAGACTTCTTTTTTCTGCTTCGGCTGCCTCTACTTTGAAGTAGTTCCTCTTGAGTGTATTCTCTGGCCAGGACTGTTTGTTCGAGCTGGCGACGCAGTTCTTCGTTGTCACCATGTAACCTCTGAACGTCCTCCCTGGCCCGGCCCGCCAGCTCCAGCTCGCTACTCCATGTGTCCTGTCCCGTTGCCATCTCAGGGATTCATGTCGCTGTGTGTCTGCGTTCCTCTGCAGCCGCTCTACTTCAGCATGTAAAGACCCGAGCTGCGTTTGGTAGGCCAGCTCCCTCAGCTGGTACTCACGTCGCTCATCAGCAATACTGGGAGTCCTTGATTCCTCCCTTCCAAGGCGTCCATTTGCGAATTCAATGGACGCATCGTTGTGGATCTCCCCGGTGTCTTCGCCAGCATCTCCTTTCGCAGCTTCCTCCATAAATTGCTGCACGAGCGCCAGGGACGAAGACTGGTCCAGCGGCCGACCCCGCCGGGATTTCCTCTTCTTCGCCTCCTCTTCTTCTAGTTTTGCCAAAGCCAGATTTGCCTCAGCAACAGCCTTTTGCGCTTGTAGCTTTGCCCTCCGTAGGTGTGCTAGTCTGCCAGCATCCATACTCCGCTTTGGACCCTCCGAAGGTGTGCTGACCTTTCCAGCATCCATACTCCGCTTTGGACCCTCCGCAGGTGTGCTGACCTTTCCAGCATCCATTCTCTGCGGTGGACACGTTTGCTGGCGATCCTTGTCCAGCCGAGTGCTTGAGCGTGTGTTCATCCGAACACTTCCGATCTTCATTGTATCAGAAGCAATGCGATCCGCCATCCTAGATCCGGCTCGAAGGACCTCTTGTTCCGAATCCCTTCTCTAATTCAGACCTTCCAGCATTCCAGCAACCGATGCGCTGACCCACATCTAGTCACAGCGGCTCACACAATCATCCGTGAAGACTGTATATGTATATGAGTGCAAAGTGCAATGCCCTCAAAAGAGTGCCATAGTGTGCCTATATACTATATTATAGTATATAGCGAGCAACAAGGCGGTAATGGTGTCAGCAAGCTGACAAGAGACACAAGCGAAATATACGAGAATCTAGAAGACGGCTCAGTGACAAGGACCAGCGCCTAGAAAATGCTTCAACTAGTGCCATGCAAGAGCCCAATGTCGCGTGAACTAAGTGCGCCAGCATGATAATTACTATTATCACTTCATGTATCAAAATTGATGTTCCTTGATGTTCTTAATCGATTTTCTTGAGACTATCATCAGGGAAAAATCGTCTCACAATAGAGGCTATAGGGAGAAACAAACTACTGTTCAGACGGTAGTACGTAATATTTCTCTGGCATGGCATCACTAAGACTAGAAGTAATGGTTCCTTTTATTATTGATAGCTGGAGCAGTCCTTTCTCTGTCTTGTGCCAATACTGCAATAGTGATTCATGTATCAAGGCCTGAGCTACACTGTAGGCTGTAGTCTTCCCTGTCTCTCTTGTGGTTTTCTATTCATGGGGGCGATCTACAAAGTGGCGTCATAACTATTTCCAACTGGCCGTTCATGTATTACATGCATCTACTTCTTAGCTGTGTGTTGTTGCTTGTTGCTGTGCATGGTCATACATTTGTATTGCAAAGTATCATGGCTAGCTTTCGTGCCGTACAACAGCGCGTGTGCGGTGGCTACGCCTCTGCTGTTTTGCCAGCTGACAGTGCTGCATAAATTACTTCATCTTTGCCTTTTTGTCTTCGGTTGTGTACCGACATGGAATGTTTTCGGTTTTAGTAGTTCCTTGGTTCGCGTTGTGTAGCTAGCTAGGCTGCTCTTTCAGGTGTAATTGTATTTGGAGTGAAAAGATAAGATAACGTGTTCCTTCGTGTGAACATTCTGGTAGCAGAGGATGGTTATCGCCTGATTGAGCAGTTCAGTTTCGGAAATTTAAATTATTTAGATCATGTCGTCGCCGGAGCCTGAGAGTGAGAGCACAATCAGGGCTAGCAGTCAGAGAACTGAGCTCTTTTTAGGTGCCATGGCAGAGAGGGCAGGCGACGTGATCGAGGAGGACGAGGAAGTCGAAGAGGACGAACATGGTCAAAGTGACCAGCGATCGAATGAACTGATGTTTGTGAAAATGAAAGCTGAAAAAGCGAATCGCAAGAGAAAGTTCACCAGGTGTCGCAGAGCCGTGATCGTGGCCTTGCGTGACGGAGTTGAAGAGGAAGCTGCGAGGTCGTTGTTTGGCGAATTAGAAATGATCGAGGATGCCCTGAACGGTGTGTTCATGGACGTACTCGAGTGGGCTGGCGGCATGAACGATGCGCTCGCAGTGGCTAAAGTGACCGATGAGATGGAGGAAGCGGAGAAAGAGATGAAGGAGGTCACAAGGCTGTATCAGGAGTTCCTAGAACACCAGCCAGCGTGGACGGCTGCACGGAACAGCCACCCAGCCAGGCCAGCGTATCATCAGTATGCCCAGGCACCAGTGGAAGAGCCAGGAAGTCCACTGAGTGTGATATCGCTGGGCAGAAGTGAAGGCTCCCAGGATCGGGATGAGCCTGGTGATGACGTGGCGCTGGTTCAGGAGAACCAGGCAAGAGTAGAAGACAGTGATGAAGTGGTTGTGACCACAAGTGTCTCCGGCAGTAGTAACAGAGAGGCAGAGCTTGGGGCTAGAACAAGGCCACCAATGGAAGCTGGGAGTAGGAGGTCAGAGCGTGAAAGAAGCCCTGCCTTGCCTGTACTACAGCCTGCTGTGCCAACACGGAGTGCTGTATGTGTGTCCAGTGCATATACTAGAGTGAGTGAGACCAAGGCCCCTCAACTTCAAGTCGCGAAGAGTCCAGGCCAGCAGGGCAGTAGTACTCAGGCTCCTGTGTCAGGACTACACCCTACATCATCTCTGCCATATCAGTCCGCCAACTATCTGTACACCCAGGCCAGTGGGCCACCACAGGTAGCCTCAAGTCATCAGGCCATGGGCATTGGTGCCTTTTCAGCATTGCCAGGAGCAGGTGTGTCCGCCAGCCACCAGCGTGCTGTGTCTCAGCCTCCACCTGTCAAGCAGCCATCAGATGAAATTTTCAAGCAACTGAAGGCTATACAGATCCCAGTCTTCGGCGGCGATAAGCAGGCGTATGCCTCATGGAAGGCTGCTTTCATGGCGTGTGTTGGTAGCTCGTCTGCAAGGGCAGACTTGAAACTGCTGCACCTCCGGCAGTATTTGAGTGGAGATGCCTTGGCTTCCATCGAGAGCTTGGGATACACCCCGTCTGCGTATGAGGCCGCAATGAGGCGGTTAGACCGCAAGTTTGGAGGCGACCAACGACAGCTGTCGCTGCAGTACGAGCAAGTCGAGGCCTGCCCAATCATTCGTTCCGGCCGAGCAGGAGATCTCCAGAAGTTCGCAGATCTCCTCGACGTACTCGTGGTCAACCTCCTCGACTCCGGAAAAGGCAATGAGCTGGGTGATGGGCTGTTGTACCGGAAGCTCCTGGCCAAGTTGCCGGCTGGGATGTTAACCCAATTCAATCGATGGTGTCATCAGAAGCCCTGCCAGCCAGGAATTCAAGCACTACTGGAGTGGGTGACATTGGAAGCGGAGTTTGCCGTTGGAGCGTCCGAAGCACTAGATGGAGTTGGTGCGAAGGACAAGCCTCCGGCACCCCGGAATGCTCCTCAACGATCCTACTTCGGGGGAAAGGCTTCGCAGAATGCAGGGTGGTCAAGGCCTGCGGGCTCAGCGGCTGGACGATCTTCATGTCGGCAATGTGGCGGACCTCACGGTGTCTGGCAGTGTAAAGCATTTCAGCAGCTTTCCGTCGCCAATCGCTGGAGACAGGCTAAACAGCATGGTCTGTGCTACCGCTGCCTTGGAGGCGATCACCAAGGTCACCACTGTCCACGAACCAGACCCTGCTCAGTGAGCGGCTGCAACAACAATCACCACTACTTGCTACACCGGGACTTGCTACACGAGGACAGCAGGAACCCCGATGCCGCACAGTCAAACAAGAAAAAATCGGGGAACACGGCAGCTGGAGGAATGACGGCGGACAAGTCCCAACTCAGTCCTGCCGAACAATTCTGCAACTATGGAGACAATGGTTCAGGTCAGGAGACAGGGGACCAGTTATTGCCTCCCGCCATCGACTGTTTAGTAACGCCGCCATACGCCGGTAAAGACCAAGAGCAGCGCACCCCACAGTCGTTCACCGAGGGGGAGACGGAGTCCACGAAGAGTGACTCCACCATGATGGTCCAAGGCCCGAGCAAGATAGCTCTGCGAACGGTCTCAGTCGTCTTGGAGAACGGCCACAAGTCAGTGCAAGTGAATGCGTTGCTGGACGACGGTAGCACGACGAGCTACCTCAACGGCAGCATTGCCAACCAGCTTGGCGTCACGGGGAGCTGGGGTAGAGCAACTGGTTGCAACTGAGCTGTGGTGGCAAGGACCGGCCTTCCTGCAGAAAGAAGAATCTGAATGGCCAGCCAAGATCGTGGGTGGCCAAGACCCAGCTGCTCGAGCGGAAGCTCGCAAGGCTGCACAGCCCGAGGTGATGTCATTTATGTCCGAGAAAGTACCCAGCTTGTGCTCTCGGCGCTTCTCAGACTGGACGCGCGTAGTCAGAGTACGGGCTTGGGCAATTCGCTTCATCACCAACTGCCGTGGAGGTGAGGAGTTGAGCGGAGAGCTAACCGGCGAGGAGATGGACGCTGCCAGCCTTTCCATCATCAAAGAGGCACAGCACGAGGCATTCGCGGAGGATCTGAAGCTAGTGAAGAATGGTCAACCACTTCCGCTGAAGTCACGTTTGGCGAGGTTATCGCCTCGACTGGACGACGACGGACTATTGCGCTGCGATGGTCGCACCAAGCTGGCTGACTGGTTGCCGTTTGATGTGCGCTTCCCGATTCTTCTCCCCCGGAAACATCCGACCACCCGGCTTATTGTCAAAGATTGCCATGAGCAACGTCATCATGGCGGGACGAATGAAACGTTGGCAGCTCTCTCTGATCACTATCTTGTCGAAGCAGCACGGGAGGAGATCCGTGACTGGGAGAAAGACTGCATGGTGTGTCGACGACTAAAAGCCCGTGCGGGAGAGCAAATCATGGCCCCGTTGCCAGCAAAGCGATTGTGTGAGCCACTGAGAGCCTTCAGCAGGGTAGCCGTTGACTACGGAGGGCCGTTCGAAACTGTGCAGGGGAGAGGAAAGACTCGCCACAAACGCTATCTGTGCCTCTTCACGTGTTTGCTGACTCGTGCGGTCCATTTGGAGATGGCGTACGCATTGGATGCAAATTCTTTCCTGAACGCCTTTAACCGGATGGCCAACCGACGAGGTTGTCCAATGGAGGTTCTGTCGGACAATGGAGGCAACTTCGTGAATGCCGACCGCCAGCTACGTGAGCTTGTTGGCCAACTGAACAATACCACCGTCCGGAAAGCCATGGCCTGCAGACGCGTGAAATGGAGTTTCAACCCGCCATTAGCTCCTCATTTCGGGGGAGTTCACGAGGCAATGATTCGAGCCGCCAAACGAGCTCTACACGCCATCCTTGGAGACGCATCTGTGACGGACGAGGAGTTGGTCACCGCTCTCAGCGGAGCAGAGTCCCTCGTCAACTCCAGGCCCATCACCTACCAATCGGCTAGTCCGAAGGATCCAGGGCCGCTAACTCCGAACCATTTCCTTCATGGCATGGCCGAGGGCCAGCTGGTTATTGCAACAACGGACGAGAAGGGGTGTCAACTGCAGAGACGTTGGAGATATGTTCAAATGCTCATCGACCATTTCTGGCATCGCTGGCTGAAAGAGTTTGTCCCACGGTTGAATCAGCGGATGAAGTGGCGACACCAGCGACGCGATCTGGCCGTTGACGACGTTGTCCTGGTGATGGATTCAAGCTCCCCGCGTGGGCGTTGGCCGCTCGGCAGAGTCACGGAAGTTTTCCCTGGTCCGGACGGACATGTGCGTGTGGTGGCCATGCAAGTGGGCGGGAAGACTCTGAAGAGATCCATCACTCGAGTCTGTCCACTGGAATGTTAGACGGCTCTCCCTACATGCCAGAATGGAGGTACTGCTCAGTGACGACCCCCACTAATGATTCATGCATTGTTTTTTTTGTTTTTTTTGTAGCTTCCTACCACTGAACTTGCCCTTTCGATTCACTTTTCTCTTAGCTTGGTACTGGTAGTTGTAAGGATAGGCATCATGCAACATCTGGGTGCATATTGCGAGGGGGAGGATGTTCAGACGGTAGTACGTAATATTTCTCTGGCATGGCATCACTAAGACTAGAAGTAATGGTTCCTTTTATTATTGATAGCTGGAGCAGTCCTTTCTCTGTCTTGTGCCAATACTGCAATAGTGATTCATGTATCAAGGCCTGAGCTACACTGTAGGCTGTAGTCTTCCCTGTCTCTCTTGTGGTTTTCTATTCATGGGGGCGATCTACAAAGTGGCGTCATAACTATTTCCAACTGGCCGTTCATGTATTACATGCATCTACTTCTTAGCTGTGTGTTGTTGCTTGTTGCTGTGCATGGTCATACATTTGTATTGCAAAGTATCATGGCTAGCTTTCGTGCCGTACAACAGCGCGTGTGCGGTGGCTACGCCTCTGCTGTTTTGCCAGCTGACAGTGCTGCATAAATTACTTCATCTTTGCCTTTTTGTCTTCGGTTGTGTACCGACATGGAATGTTTTCGGTTTTAGTAGTTCCTTGGTTCGCGTTGTGTAGCTAGCTAGGCTGCTCTTTCAGGTGTAATTGTATTTGGAGTGAAAAGATAAGATAACGTGTTCCTTCGTGTGAACAACTACTTATAGGTCTATAGGATAGTGGGAAGTATACAAGGTGAGGTGTGAAAAAAAACTAAAGTGGGAGAGAAGACGAAAGAAATTAGAAGAAAAGATGTGAGAGTGTTCCGACGGTGTGAGCTACTACAAAAGGTGAGTGAAATGAAGGCGTGGAAGCAGGTGAATGTGATAGAGTGAGGAACTGTGGGGTGTAGGGGTATGCGAATGAATACGTGTGTGAATGCTAGGTGAAGAGTCTCAGTTTTGTGACATTTTCTTTCTGAATGCATAAATTAGGATTGTGTTTACGGATGAAAACAGCTTCTAATACCTTCACGAAATCTACGAGCACGGTACAAAACAGTGAAGGATGAATCGTCATACACTGAGCGGCATTGGCTACTAGACAAGAGGTGTTTCTTAATTGCTGACCCTTTCGTTGTGCTCTCACCTTCAGTCTGGTCATCTTCATCTTGGTTGTCCAACTCACTCTCTTCATCACTGCTCACACCTTCTTCATCCTCTTCTTCTTCCATCTCGTCCTCTGCACCCGACGACAATCCCACGCTACTGCTCGCTGCCAGTCCATATCCGGTTGTAGATGCCATTACCAGCGCACGAGTCATGCTCCTTGTTACTGGTCTCCGTACCTGTGCTTGGCCGTTTCATTCGCATACACCTACACCCCACAGTTCCTCACTCTATCACATTCACCTGCTTCCACGCCTTCATTTCACTCACCTTTTGTAGTAGCTCACACCGTCGGAACACGCTCACATCTTTTCTTCTAATTTCTTCCGTCTTCTCTCCCACTTTAGTTTTGTTTTTCACACCTCACCTTGTATACTTCCCACTATCCTATAGACCTATAAGTAGTTTGTTTCTCCGTATAGCCTCTATTGTGAGACGATTTTTACCTGATGATAGTCTCAAGAAAATCGATTAGGAACATCAAGGAACATCAATTTTGATACATGTATTCTCATTCATCATTTCGTAATGTCCGCTTCACTTATACTATTAATCGCATTAATAAAGTTATTACGGAGGATTAGCAAGACGAAATTCGCGTTCGCGTTCGCAAACATTTTTCAGTTAGCGAACTGGATTGCAAACTAACGTGTTACTTTCGCATTTTTCGTTCGGAAAAGACAAGTAGTCGGAACACGAATCGCGGTTTCGTGTCAGGACAGTCATAAATTTACTACGCTATACTGTCTGCACACAATGGACGACGTGTCAACGTCATGCATGTGCGAAGTCTGTTTGCTAATCCTTCTCATAACGCGAATTCCGTCACTGAGTTCGACTTTCCTTGCAGAGCGAACGCGAACGCGAATTTCGTCTTGCTAATCCTCCGTAATAATATTATTAGGCCACCCTTTCTTTTTTCGTTGTTTAACGTCCGCGCCCGCGTACATGTACCTTTTTGCCTCAGACTGGAAAAAAAACAAAAAAGTAGTAGTACCAATAATATGCGAAGTTGTAAATACATGATTGTGTAGTTTCACAGTGTGCCGATCATGACCTTAAACTTATAATCTTGCCTCCCGGGCATGCCTTTGTCTTGTGTTCTTTTTCTTTTTTGTTGGCTTTTAAATATCGTACGGTGTGTGTCCTAGTAAAAATCCAGATGACATCTGGATTTTTACTAGGACACACACCGTACGATATCATGAATTCATTACATTGTAATGAATTCATGACATGCTAACTCCATGCTATGTACCTGTTTTGTTGGATTCATCAGGCATGTGCTCCAATGTACCATCAAAGAGTGTTGTTCTATGCCTGCAAGTGCCGTTAGACCCAGAAATATTGTATATACATGTATCACATGCTTTACTGGTCAAAATGTTTGATTGGGGTTTCCAGTTTTTGGAATGGGCTTTTGTTTTGTTTTCCGCCCTCCCGCATACCTTTTCGCGAAAAAAAGGACGTTAAATAAAGGGTGGCCTTAATTTTTAAAACAATAATGACTCACATTCCTGTAGTACTAGTAGTAGTAGTACTACTGGTAGACCTACATGTAAAGACAGTCATGCTACAAGTGGTAGTCCATGTACAGGAGGTCATGTTGATCTTCTAGAACTAGTGGTGGTAGTACAGTCGTCCCTCTCTAATCCGGCACTTTATAATCCAGCACCCTCGATAAACCAGCACAATTTTCAGTAGCCAAAATGTCCTCTTCATGCACATTGCAGCAGTAAATCAGATTTGTAAATCCAGCACCCTCCCTAATCCAGCAGATTTTCGTGGCACAAATGGTGCCGGATTATAGAGGGACCACTGTAGTAGGTCTACTGTCTGTAGTGTAGCTGGCGTTTAGAGCATCTACACGAGCTAGACCTCCGTGGTCGTCATCCCCTCTTCGCAACCATGTCGCACAGAAGTGGAGAACAAAGAGGCATCTTCGAGTTCTCGAGAGCCACTTTCCACCATTTGACGATGCAAGCCTGAGAGACGGATTCTCAGTACTGCACTTGGCCATGGCACGAAACATCAGCGCACGCTAGCGCTACTCCCTACCTGTGAGTGTCTGGTTACGAATGTAGGAAATATTTCAAGAACGCCAACTCTGTGGATCGACTTGGATGCTGGCACAGGCTGGTGCCGCTAGTTTCGACCTGTGGTCCGAAAGTATCTTGACTTGAGTCACTTTATGACTAGACGGAAACCCTGCCATTTATCACGGTGATGCTATCGTAGAGCTAGGCCGAGACGGAGCGCTGGCGATGATTCTGACTCTCAGTGAGTCGGTACATGTGTCGATTCAGACATCTCGTCAGCCTCAGGGTCTCTGCTAGCTGCTGTCCACGATGTGCTTTTCTCGCCTTGACTCGTGGCGACGACTTTCGACACAATTGGGTTGTCGCTGCAGCCACGAAGCTAGTCCGACGGGAGGCGGAGACGGCGTGTAGACGTACGCAGAGGATGGTGATGCAGAAACGAAATGAGTTACGGACGTAGCCGCTTTACATGTTGGCGTGACCCAGCCTTCACGTCTTTCCGGCGCACCGGCGCTAGCTAGCGGTGACTGTCTAGCCGGCCGTATGCGGCCGTGCTGACGGACTCGACAACCTGTAGATTTGAGTTCAGGTTACCGGAGCACGTGGTGCAGCCGCTAGCGCTGATGCGCTGGTTTCGGGAGTGGTGCGTAGATCTACGTGAGAAGTCGGAGCCAGTGCTCAGCTGTGTCGACGATACCACAGTCTACAGGCGATTATGACGCAGGAAAACATGGCTCTTTCTACAGTCATTGCCAGTATCCGTAAGTGCATCCAGGTGCTGACGAAATAATAATTTTCATGAACGGTGTGCAGGAATGACTATGTACGAAGGACCTCTGGTATGAGAGGAAATCGGACAATGGATATCCGGATGGCATCGTTATGGCACTTTTAGTGGCATTGGTGCAGCTATGTCAGACGGAAATTATTGAGGGGATGCTTGTGTATAAAAGCCCCCGACCCATGCGCCACTGGCTTCAGGCCTGGCATTGAATGTCAGCACGTACAAATTCGAAATCTTGTTTACAATTCCTTGATCAGGCAGAGCAGCTGGAGGGGAGAGGGGGGGGGGGGGGGTAGCTTGCACGCCGATGCACGTTGGTCACTGTGTGTGCACGCACGCGTCTGTGACTGTATGTGCATGTGCGTGCATATGTGGGTCTGTTTGGTCGTGTAATTATCACAGTAGTCAGCCCCCTGCTGCTGCTGATCACCAGCTCGATGGCCGGTGCGTCCATCAACCTGTCCACTGAAGTGTTTGCCGATATAGTGTACACTAACTGGAGTCCGTGCAGCGTGTGCTGCACACAGTACCGCGATGTGGTGACGGATGACGGAATGCCAGCCATACTGCCGGTGGGTGCCTTGCGACCGGAAGGCCGCCAGTACCGGCCCTGCACCGGACAGGCCTGCCCTCTTGACTGTGAGCTCAGTCTTTGGTCCAGCTGGACGCCGTGCACCTTTACACAGCCGTGGAAGAACCGCACCCGCCTCTTCGTCCATCCGTCTGATGCCCGGCAGCCGGACTGCGGTGCCAAGAAGACGATTGAACTGCAGCTGTGCGCCGAGGGGGATCTCGCTCGGTTTGAGTGCAGCGTCCAGGGCGAGTGGACGGAGTGGCAGGGCGAGTGTAACTGTGACTCCACCACGTTTCAATACCAACGGCGCACTCGAGAGTGTTTGTCCATACCCTCTAGCCCCGAGGCAGTGCAGATAAGACCCTGCATATCGGCCAACACGCCCGCTAGACTGCTGCCAACAGACTGTAATCGGCCGAACCTGTACAATTGCTTCCCGCACAACGCACCGCCATGGTCGGCCTGGTCTTGCGATGCCACTTGCGAAAGTACGCCCACCGCCGCTGAAGTTATGGGCACTGCCTCACGCAGGCGTGATATCGGCTTGATGCAGGTCGATAGCAGTGCCGCACGTGGAGACCTGGCCGTCTGCATTTGCCAACAACGACTGCAGACGGCTGTGTGTCGTATTCCATGCAACGGCACTGCAATTGCTACGAGAACTGTCGTGGCGCCGCCGATCACAACTACTATTCCACGTAAGAGGTCGTCAGACTTGGTGCCTTCCTTTATCATATTCATGTAATTACCGTTAAGTACCACAAGAGTGCCCCACCTGGATTTTACAGCCAGGGAAAGGAAAATTGTATTGCATAGTGCAACTAGGTCGGTATGGTGTGAGAACCTTAGTGTACTAAGGTCACGCTTAGACCATGTTCTTGTGTGGAGCTCGCATCCGCTCGAAGGTAAATTTTATACGGATTGCTTGGACAACGTGCAATGTGTGTGCAGGGCACATGCTGTGTGCCCTACAAACTGGACACCACCTACAAAACATGACCAGGAAAGGGAGTTGATGGTGGGGTGCTCTCGTGCTACATTACCATACTACAGTGTTGGTAGGCCCTGGCGGATACTGCTCGAGAATTTGATGGATTCTGCTTTTCAATATGCTCGCACTCTGCTCCAAAATAGCACTGATAATGCTTGAATTCTGCTCCAAAATAGCACTGATAATGCTTGAATTCTGCTCCAAAATAGCACTGATAATGCTTGAATTCTACTTCAGAAAAATGGAAAGAGTGGTATAGATTACCAATGTTGCAGATTCGGATAACGCCATACAGCATACATATACATATACATGTATTTCGCAGCATAAGTCATGTTCTACAAAACAGAAAAAATGTACAGAATTATCATTACTCAGCATGCAAATGCGCGGTATACCGGTAGTAGTCGCAAGGGCATAGTGAATTCTCACGAAAATCCCATATTTTCCAATAATAATTTTCCTAGTTTTCGCAAGAAAATGCTAGTTTTCTGCAAAACTTCCCCGGATTATGCTAGCGCAATGCTAGTTTCCAGAAAGAGCTAAACATGCTAGATATATGCTAGAATTATCCGCCGGGGCCTAAGTAATGGCGACTGAAATCCGACCCCCGCTCTGTGCACTCACATTGCAACTTGAAACCTAGCAAAGCATGACTGTGTAAACTACCGAAAAGAGAGCGCTAGAATCGGTGCTGCGCTCGAGCACGAAAACGAGGGGTCAGACGTCAGTCGCCACCACTGCAGTACTCTGAACACCTCCTCGCGGAAAGTAGCCAATGGCCAAACTGATTTGGTGAGCATATCAATACTATCATGCAGATGTATCCAGTGAGTAATGTGTACATGTACATGACACGGAGGCCAGGTTTCCATGACAACTATCACCATGGGCACATTGCAGGTGATCTTGGAATATAGAGTCCTTAGAGCGTTGACAGCCACAGTCCGATAAGTCCAACAGAGACATGTTGGGAGCTGGAAGATCTAATCAGAATGGCGTCCGAACGTTTGCTGTAATCTTTTTTTGCATGTTTCCATTGTCCTCCATAACCAATCCAGCAGATACTGATGGTGAGCCCGATGATGACCAAGCAGGTGATAGAGACAGCAGTAGTACCACCAGTCGGCTGTTCATTGGCGCTTCGGTCATTCTGGCGATTCTCCTCTTCGCCGCGTGTGCAGCTGTATCACACTTCTATAAAAGGTACTGGTTCTGGGCATCATATTGGACATCACACCAGGCTATGTGTGCACAAAGACTGTGTGGGTCACTGAACCTACAGTCCATTCATTGAAAATTGACACCCTAACTTTTTGGTGTCTCCCACACATAGTTGTAGATATCGTGAAACCAACAGTACATCATGCATTGTGTGAGCCGTGCAATTACTCCTTGCCACATTTGAGGCCAGAAAAGTCCAAGAACAGGAAAATAGAAATTCAGCCAGGTTTTACAAAATTGGGACAGATATGCCATGGCAAAATGTATGGAGAAGCAGATCCCAAACCCAGATTTTTGAGATTTAAAGTGGGGGTTTTGATCCTTAATTTGGCCCAAATCGGACTTTCAAAAGCCAGCGGGACTGTTTCCGATGAATAGACTGTAGCTAGAGGTTATCCAGCTGATGTCATAGGTCATGAATGTACTACCTTATCCACACGTTGAATCCATATTTGCCAATTTGGGGCAATTCGCCACATTTTGCATTCCATATACCGGTATGGGCGGCCAAAACAAGGAATATACACCTGGATATAGAATATTGCTAGCTCTTGCCGGTGTAAACGGTGTGAGAATCGTTGGACAAACTGCGTTATCCACATGACTTTGAGCGAACAAAAAATTAACATGTGAGTTGCAAAAACGATGGCCAACACTTAGAAGTGTTGCTATAATGTCTGTGTCACCGGGCATTTGCACCATTTGGCGCAAGGGAAAATTGGTGAACATCCACATGAAAGCAATAGCATCATGAAACTGTGAGTTTAGAAAAAAATTGAAGAAAAGAAAAAGGACCAAGGAACTACAAGTTACGCTATAATGTCCACTAACACCACCAGTTACTAAACAACCACCTCATGCGATAACATTGCACGACACTGACCGACGGTACTGACGTTCTACAACTAACTGGCTATCAGCTCTAGCACGTCTTGGATGCGCACGCTTTTCTTTCCTATAAATTTATCAGGTGTGCAAGTAAGAACTTAGAACTTTCCAATTTGGAAGGCTGTTGGTTTGCGCCTCCAAGACATATAAATAGAGCTTATCATCAGGTGGTTGAATGTCAGTATCACATCAGTGAGTATTGTGCTAGCTGTTACACCTTCTGACTACACAACATCTTACTACATCTTGCTTATAACTGCCGTTAGTGTTGGACACCAACTACGGATAACATGTAACATTTTGGTCCTGTCTTTTTAAATATGAATTTATCCTTGGCTCTCCATCCGAGTCCATTCTTAGAAAAAAATAGTAGAATTTATTATTTGGATAGGGAAGGCCCTACAGATGTTGTCGTCTTGTTACAGGGAACCCTAAGTGCTCGTTATAGAGTGAAACAAAGCAAACATCACTTTAAAAAATGAAGAATCCTTTCTTTTAAATGATCCTAGTGCCTCTCACACACCATAATGTCGATGTTTTGCAGGCACAAGCGAAGCCGTGAAGAGCTGACATCTCTTCTGGACATTTCACAGCCAGGAAGGGCGAGTACGGACGCCATGAACTCTCCGCAAGTCTCAGGCCAGCCACTTGACACTGCTGAGAACGCAACCGCCCAAGACGAATCGAGGCTGACAACTAGTATCCATGGCGGTGGTGATAGAGACGGGAAGATGGTTGCCGAGGTCTATATCAACCCGGTGAGTGCGTACTACTGGTCTGATCTGCACAGGATGGTTGGTGCTCATCTTTGTGCAATGGAGGACAGGAGAAAAGGATCTCACTGTCATCTAATGCATATCTCTACTGAAATGTGGAGAGAAAAGTCCAGTGGCCCCATTCAATAGGATTCTGATATCTGTAATTGACCCTTTTCCCGGTGGATGTTATCTGCACTTCATTTTGTATTTGGGTGCGCATGTGATCTCCGAGGGGTCTGCAAGGGTGTTTATGGTGGATCCTTTAATCATCCTTGCCATCTTGGTATGATAGCCATGCCCAGTGCAGAGATATGTGCACACACACACACACACACACAGCCCCAGGCACGCTGCTATCACCCATCCCCTTTGTCAGATATTTACACGGTGAATGTAAGTCGCCGTGTAGTCATGGGTGGACCCAATGAACAAAAAAGTAAAGTTCATAGGTTCATGTTGCCAGCTTCTATACAGTTGTGGGTTGAGAAACACCAGCCAAGAAACACCACCCAAGAAACACCACCCAAGACTTACTGGTAAAGTGAAGCCTAGATATGACTGTATTTGTAACCCGGGGCGGATCACTGACAGGAGAGAAATATTGCCTGCTGCGCAGCGCTTCCAGCATGCCAAGACCAATGCAGGTCAGCTAGTGACTGGCCCGCTGGAACCAGTCCGGGATATTATACACAAAGCATGAAAGACTTTGGTACGACCGGACCAATTGAAAACTCCTTCCGGCGGGCCTGAGTGACATGTCGTAAATGCAGATATTTCCCTTGGCCGCTGGAGTGCTAGTATGGCGCATGTAACATGTACACTAAAAGAATCACGGTTCGCGTGAGACTCGGCTGGAGGCCAAGTTTTCCACATCCGCAGGAACGCCACCACCCTCTATGGGTCAAGGCGCAGATGCAGCTCCTAAAGTGGCGGGAGGTGAGTAGATCAGACCCACCAAAGTGGTCAAAGACAGAAAATCCCATTCACTGCATCCATACACTATTATACACTGGTTTCTCTGTAATTTTGTATGTCTGTTTTCTCGGCGCCTGCAGCACTATCGATCGCCAATCAGATACCCCAGCTACCGAGACCAGTACTCTGACTCGTCGGCTACCGACCGCCTCAGTCAAATCTCAGATTTCAGGAATGCTACCGACAAGGTAGGCTATGTTGTGCAGCATCCATGCTCCGAGTACTTGTCTTGCATGTGACAACAGTGGACCCTGCCTTGGTGCTGCTCATGTTGGGGGCAGGGGTTTGCGCCGATGATATTGCTGGACAGAGATGATTGCAGTGGCAAATTTTCATTTTGTATTCTCTCTCTGAGTCTCCAGCCTCATCTCTCTTTTTCTCTTCTTTTCTCTCTCCGGCGCTCAATGGTTTTCACATAACATGAACCTCTGAACTACAGTAGTACAGTATTACCTGTGACTAGCGACCACCCGGCATTGGGGCCAGAGAAAGCGGTCTTTAGGGGCAGGTGGTCCTTAGTTAGAGGTCTGTACCGCACAACCATAATTATATGAATGTGAGACTGACCGTGCCTGGCGATGTTGTCTGTGGCACCAGGCTGGTCGCTAGTCACGGTGGTCTGTGGCACCAGGCTGGTCGCTAGTCACGGTGGTCTGTGGCACCAGGCTGGTCGCTAGTCACGGTGGTCTGTGGCACCAGGCTGGTCGCTAGTCACGGTGGTCTGTGGCACCAGGCTGGTCGCTAGTCACGGTGGTCTGTGGCACCAGGCTGGTCGCTAGTCACGGTGGTCTTTGCTTACAGGTTGTGCTGTACATGACTGTGTTTTCTGTTTCTGCTCTTTACTCTTATCTGGCTCCATGCAGACATCACATGATGGTCGGCCTCAGTTCATGCCGTCTACAGCGCACCCCACATCGGTCGCATCCCAAACTGACCAACGCCCGCAGCACTTCCACAGCGAGGACACGGACAGGCACGAGCGCCTGGAGATGACGATGATGTCGCCGGGAAAGCCACGACGTCGCCGCTTCATCTCTCGCTACATGGACAGCCGGGCACAAGGCCGCAGCGCCACTGCCATTTCCCCGAGGGCCATTGCGCAGAGCTGCAGCTGTCACATCGGCAGAGACGCTGCTGCTGCGGGGGCGGTGGCTATGCATGCTCCCAGCTGTTACTCCATGACCTCCAGCACGGACGAGCCAACGCAGCGCTATGTGACGTCCAGACGTCTATCACGCTTTCCCCGCCTGCATGCAAGACCAAAGCCTGAAGATACGAACCCCGCAGCTCAGCGGCGAGTCGACGAAACACTGTCCGAAAATGAAAACCGCCGCAGCCGCTCTTGGGATAAGTGACGGAGTTTCATTATTCATCACCGGCCATTGAATTTTAGCGTGTACGGTACACAGGGTGGTGATGTCATTACCGAGGTGTTGTCAAATGTAATCGGCTTTATGTGATGTCAACAGAGTGTTTTTCTCCAGCAAAGAAGACGGTTATTTGCCTTGCCTTCTGCTTGCGCCTTTCCCATTGTTTCAATTCGTCTTGTGGTCAAACACTTCAAACTACAGGTCAGACATGTTGAGTTTTAGATGGTGCAGTATAGCCATTATGTGTCACCACTCTTGAGAGCCCACCCCCCCCCCCCGCCATTTTAGACCCTTTGATTGGACACTTTACTTTGACCCATAATTGTCTATTTGTCTTACACAGCACTAAATACTCTGAGTATCTAAAAAGGAAAAATGTGGGCACAAGTTATGCAATCGAGTCCACCAACTAAGCAGATTTTGAACAGTCAGGCGTGCACAATCCATCATGAAACTAGATCAATCGCATAACTTGTGCCCACATTTTTCCATGTTACATTTTTTTCCTTGCGGCTCACCATCTGAGTTCTTATCTTAAAAGGGGGTGGTTGAAAAGAACATTCAGGCACCTTACACTTTGTAGGACTCTTGAACCCCCACGGCCAGACCGGCGTGTGCAGCGTGATAGCAATCGCCTACAGCAGTCAGCCAGAACAGCCGTAGTAGCCGCATGACGTGCTGCACATACACCGCAAGCTGGACTGAGCCTGCAAGTCTCATCAGTAGAGTAATTGATTGTTACCATGGTTACCCGGCACATGTACTAAGTATTTATATTGGCTTGCGCTGGACCATGCTAGACCACACGCGTTTGCGGAGTGATTTTCTGGCCACTGGTGTACTGTGACTACTTCACGCTTTGCTCTCAGTCTTTTTGCTCAGTCCCTTTTTCATGAACACCCATCACACAATGCGACCACTCAAAGAGCCTTCACTGTGACATCACAGTGTGGACGCTGTGTACAGGTGAACTCCTTATCTAGGGCTATTTGACTGGAAATAATATCCCTCGGTCCTAGTCCGAGGCTTCTGAGACAGGTGGTCACCTAATCAGAGTGGTCGCTTTGACAGCTAGCGTTTACTGTGTTCTGTCCGTCTCTGGTATGCACTGGCCGTTGCTGTATCGGTAACTGAACCCAGCAGAATGAACTGAAAAGAGGAGAGACGCGCGTATGTGATCAGATCATGATTGTTGAGAATTGCACCTGCAACCTCTCGAATGGAGTTTTACCACATACCCTGGCGCATACCCCTACGATGTACAAATGGGATCGACCTGTCACCACTTGAACACTACATACCTTGAGCCTTGAACATGCCCACTTGTCTTGTACCAGCTTGATCACCAAAACAATGAAAAAAAGTTTGACTTTAGGATAGGTTGGGATTTGAACTCACAACTTCATGGTCAGCAGACAGCATTCAAACCACAAGGCCAAAAAGGAAAGGATAAATCGTGGGTTTTGATAAAAAATCGATACAGGCTTCCTGGGCAAATTGTAAAAACCATGGGAAAAGGCCGGAAACCTGGTCGAAATTCTAGCTCCTTAGGGGCCGTCCAAGGTTACCAATAATATTTTCAAAACGAAATGTTTTCGTTTGGGGGTGGGTGGGTTTGATGGAGTTTCGTTTTGAAAATAATTATTGAATGTAGATGGAGAATGTCCAGTTACTTCTGGGTGTCGAAAATTGACATCAATATTTTATTGGAATTCGTTTTACCTGCAGAAAAGATGGGTGGGTGGGTGGGGGCTGAAAAATACTAAAACTTTTCGTTTTGTAAAAACAATCGGTAACCCCGGACGGCCCCTTAGCGGTTGGTCCAATTGTTCCGAAACCTTCACAGACAATTTGCCGTGTGCTAACAAGCCATTCTATGTACTTTGTTGTCCAAATTTCCCTTATCTTCATACTTTTTAAGACTCAAACCTGATTGTAAATCTTTTTGAAACAGACTGTGTTGTAGGAGTTGACTACAACTGGGTGTGTGTACCCTGTATCCTGCTTACAGTGTAGAATGGCATGGCACTGATGTAAACATGTTCTCCCTCGCTCCTTTTGAAACTCCAGAGCCTGATTTCTTCTCGTTAGGTGGGATGTTACTCAGATCAGGGCAGCCAGGTGCTAAGCTCACCCATTGTTGTTTGACTTCAGCCACCAGCCACCGGTCTCATTCTAGTGTCCATCTCTCAATGTCACTGAGCCCCCCCCCCCCCCCACCACCATCAACACACACTTAAAAAATGAAGACGCAGTGATGTCTACCACCCTGTGGGGCAGCACAGCACAGCGTCTGAGAGCCGATGATCAAGACTGTAAAAAAAAGGCACTTTGAAAATACTGAAGCATTTTTAGATCAAGTTTTGAGAATAAGTGAAAGTCGCTACCTAACAAAGAATGCCTATTGAGACAGCAGAGTTGTGTTACATGAGCACAGCATTACTGATGGACCAATTAATAATGAATATTATAAATAAATAAATAAAGTAAAAATTGATGCAACGTCTGTTGCAAACTAGGCAAGGAAGGTTTCTATGAGTGTGCGATCTCGTGGTTATTTGTTATAGTGATCAAGCTAGCAGACAGACAGGGAGACAAGCTGGCAGACAAGCTGGCAGACAGACAGACAGGCAAATTGGCAGAAAGACAGACATACAGGCAGATAAACTGGCAGAAAGACCGACAGGCAGACAGACAGACGGCAGACAAACTGGCAGAAAGACAGATTGATGGACAGACAGGCAGAGTGTCCAGTGCCAGAAGTATTACTAACACATAGACCATGATCGAGAAGTACAAAGAAGGCACAGGCTGCGTACAGACCAGTCGAGGACTATGTAATTCCTCTGCAACACAGGACCAGGGTGTGTGTATAGCTTGCCATACAAATACATGCAGTCATTATTGTGAGGACTACAGGTGAGATGGCGGAGGAGGTAGGTCAAGCTCAAAAGAGGAGGCAAGAAACCTGCGCCGCTCTGCCAAATCACTCGAAACGTTGGCTTTCACTTGTTGCGGAACTCCCAGGTCACCATTTCTTGCATCGACTTCCCTTTTGACAGATTGGGCAAAGCTTCCCCTGTGCGACTGGGCGTTGCTTTCCCTTCGTAGCTGGGCGAAAGTTCCCCTGCGTGACCCAGAACTTGGCGTGCCGGATGTAGCAGTTTCTGCCGCCGGGTTCATACTGGGCCGACGATCAGGCACCGGCACCGGCCTCAGGAATGATCTAAAGTTTACTTGATGCTCGCTACTTGTCGTACTGTTGCCGGTGGAACTGGCATCGGCAATGCGTGTAGCAGGGTGGTCAGAACGGCGAGTAGCAACCAACGAAGGGGCAGGAGCCACAGCAACTTGGGGGGTAGCAGTGGCGGCTGCCTTTGAAGAATTAGAAGACTTCCTTGACTTGATCGACGCGGCCAGGTTCCTACGCCAAGATGGTGGCGAGGCTTTGACCGGACTGTCTCGAGGAGCTGGCAAACCCTTTCGCACGGCGGCAGGTTCATCTAGCGAGGTAGAAAAGCCGTTGGTGGCAGCGATGAATGTGTTGCTGCTAGTAGCCGAGACCCCCTGTCTGCCGCTCTTGCCCACTGGTGCACGTGGAAAGTGCATTGTATAGCTAGTCGACACATCATGCAATGGAGTCGTTAGGTCCTCCGACAAGTCCACAGTGGTGGACTGGCTCCTGCGATCGTACGGTATGGACCGTTCCGATCTTTCTGACCGTGTGGAGCGGTCAGATCTTTCCGATCTCATGGAGATAGATTTTCTAGGGAGACTGCCCCCAAACCTCCAGCCAAGTGAACTCTTCTTTGAAGGTGTTCTTGCACAGCCAGCCTCGGAAGTGACCTCCGGAGAATATTGCTGAGAGGGCACGTCGCTTGCTGGCAGACCTCTTGGAATAGAATTCCTAGCTCCAGTCCACTCGACGTAGGACTCCTGCGGATCGTCCTCGTCTGAATCGCTGTTCACGCTAGTCCAGGTGTCCACCTGGGTGGCCTGTCTGGTCATGTGGCGATGAGTCGCTCCGCCTGTCTGCGACATATCCACGCCTTGCGGTGCCCACTTGCCCGCGTCACCATCTTCGTCGGACGAGCCTGCCGGAGTCACCTTGCCACGTTCAATTTGGTGCGCCTGGTAGATTTCAAGCTCGGCTGCCAGATCTCTCCAGGGGTCTTGATTTCCAATGTTCATTGTAAATACGTCATCGTCATCGTCGCCCACAACGCTATCTGAGCTCTTGCCGCGATGGCGCCAGCCATTGCGCTTCGGGCCAAACGCCATGGTGTTGAGTCGGGCATGTTGACTGCAGGAACGCACACACACACACACATGTGCACACACACACACACACATACACATGCACACACACACACACACACACACATGCACAAACATGCATGCACACACACACACACACTACTGAACATCGACACACACACACACACATGCACACATACAGGCAGGCCACACAGTATCCATTTCATTACAGCTGAGTCAGCGATTCCCGGCATGGCACCATTCCAGAAAAGTCACATACAGTCAACTTCGCTTATAACGACTCTCGGCGGGGCATCAGAAAAGTGTCTTATTCGTGATGTGTCGCTATACCCGAAGTCTCATTACATGTGTTACAGTTAGATGGGACTTTGCTCTGGGCATGAAAATCCTGTAGTTATTCGCGAATAGTCATTATATCCGCAGTCGTTATTAGCGAAGTTGACTGCAATCGAAATACTGGGAGTACCAGGGTGCAAAAACTTGTTTAACTCGGATACTGAGCCAGTACATATAATTAAAATAGAAGAAATCACACATGGGAACGAGTTATGAAGCAAATATCCAACTATTAGAGCTAGATCTCAGGTCGTTGAATGTCTCAGCAGCCTGTCAGTTTTGTGCCCTGTTATCGCACTTTCTGACTGCTTATTATCTTGTTACAGTCGTGGATAGTTGCTTCATAACTCCTTTCCATGTGATTTCTTCTATTTTAACTAATATTTGTGTTAAAGTTTAATACACTGAAATCCCATCATGTACAGTTGTCGCAAAAGAAATCCGACCTTGCAATCTTGTACAACGCTATGAAAAGTACTTTTCAAAAGTTCTCCATCTGGTACACAAACTGGCACGGCTCTTTCAAGATCAGTTTTAATTCCCGTAGCTATGCAGAAGACGTTACTTCAGTAACGTCTGGCGCTAGCCAGGGTCCACACAGCTTTAATTTGGTGTTTGTTTGTTTGTGTGTTTGTGTCACGCCTGGCGCTATCCCGTATCTGTCCCGTACCGTACCGTACCATCAAACACAGCTGGCCACATACAGCTGGCCGCAATATTCAAATAGGGCTTTCAAACGCAAGATCATAACGTGAAGCAACTTGGAAGAATGAGTATGAATGCAAAGTGTATGGGGGATTGCATGTAGCTAGCGATAGTGCGGGTTCGAATCCCAGGTTATGCCTAAAAAATAGGAGAATTGAAAATTTATAACATCCCTATGCTTTTTTTGCCTAGGTCATCAAGGCGGTAGACGGTGTCGTATTACCCTCGACCGTACCTGTCCCATACCTGTCCCGTACCGTGCCATCAAAGACGGCTGGCCACAATGAATATTCAAATAGGGCTTTCAAATGCAAGATCATAACGTGAAGCAACTTGGAAGAATTAGTATATATGCGAAATGTATCGGGGGATGCATGCAGGGCGATAGTGCGGGTTTGAATCCCAGGTTAGGCCACACCAAGTTATTTCATTGTTTCTCGTCACCTGAAAATCTCAAAAGGAATGCGGGCGGGCGGAAAAAAAACAAAATAGGGTTTGAAAAACAAAAACTGCTATTTACACTACAAAGGCCCAATTTATGACCTAAAATCAGACTATACACCACGCGTGACAGTCAATTGCAACATACAGCCAGAAAACCAGGCTCCTGCACCGGCCTCTGGTGAGGAAGTCCAGTGTTGCATGTTATTTAAATAGGAAAGAAAGCAAACCAAAGTTATTATACAAGGGGTACATAAAAGAACAGCCAAGTGCGCGCTTGTGCTAAAATTTAAAACAGAAACCTTATGGGATAAGGCATGGCATGACATGACAAGTCCAGACAATGAATACAGCAGGCTCCAATGACAATGGAGCGAACAGCAAAAGCAAAAGTCGTCCTTCGGTTCGTGCACTAGCACTGCACTCCAGATTTGACGCCGCGCGTACTTTTACAACGCCTTTTTATGCGTGTTTACCGGGACGCGAGATTTTTTTTTTGGTCCAATCCTCAAGAAAGGTACGCGCGCGGTGACGAGAAACAATGAAAAAACTTGGTGTGGCCTTATGAAATAAAATAAAGGAAAAATTTATATAAATAATCTACGTGGAGATAATAATTTTAATATAGCTATGAATAGGATGAAGGCCGCAGACATCACGCAACTACGTTAATTGTTTGACATGTATTTACTGTGTATTTTATAACAAAAATATTATTGAAAACCCATAATCGATTTTCTTAAAGGGGAACTCCACGAAAAAATGAAACTTCGATAGCCTGTAGAGTTTCGGGCGCTGAGTCGAATGGTCTTGGTCCGAAGTCTCTACGACGAAGCGTTCTTGAGATATTAATTTTCACTTTGAAATTGCAAAAACGGGGGCCGCGCCCTGACGTCATGCGGCCATTTGGTTACATCATCACGGGCTGCCTACGTCATTGTGGCAAAGTCGTTTCTCTTCGCCAGTCTACAAGCACTAATTTTAGTTGGTATTTCAAGGGAAGATGGGCGATTCCGAACAATCCTCTGTCCCCAGCAATGAAGGCAGCGATGCTGAGGCCAGTGAGGACGACCAACAGCCCACCGCCGCGTATGGTTGGGGCAGGGAGCCCAGATACTCTGCTGAGGAGCTGCCATCGCGTGTAACAAATGTGGAGGAAGAAGATGCGTCAGCAGCTGCGTCCGACAGAAGACGAGTAGCTTGGCCACCAGAATCTCGATTCGTTTGGGACTCCGACTGGTGCGAGCGTGGACAAAAGTGTATAGCCATGCCCAGCCCGCGGGAATGATTTTGCTGGTAGGATGCTGCCGTCGCTGTCGACAAGACGGCCCAAGGTTTCTTGCGTAGCGGACCTCGCAGATTACGAGATCGTATCCTTGCATTAGGCTGTGCTCATCACTGCTCTTCGAGGTTATCTCGACATGCAGAAGCCGCCAATGCCAGTGACAGAAGAGTCTGACATTAGGTAAGCCTCAATTTAATAGTTTGCCTTGACTTGTCTTGTGAGGATCGCGTATCAGCATGATACACTTATTCTTATTTTTTGGGGGAAATTTATTGTTGTCAGGCGCACTACAGTAGGCGTCGCACAAGAAAGACATTGTACTGGTAGTTATCACAAGTTTCATGCATGACACAAACAAATTTCTCTTTGCTCCGAGTATGTCTTGACTTATCTTGTGAGGATCGATGCGCGTAATGTTTTGTGTGTAACTAATTATTGTTGTCAGGCATAGCACGAACAACGTTGTTCTGTACTATAGACCGTGCTATCACAAGTTTTCATGCATGACTCACATTTGTCTTTGTCATTTTCCCTTGGATTGGTACAAGATCTACAAAGTATGGTAGGTAGTGTTCTGTTGGTGAAGAGAGCACTGCACACAGTTTATGAGCACCATGGGTGCATTAATTTTGATCACACCCGAACCCATACTTTATCGTTTCAAGCGATAGACTTTGTCAATAAACTCGTTTTCTAGTATACCATGGCATGCAACGTACAAGCGTGGGGTCAAGAAAGCGTACACCAAAATAATGCACAAATTCTGGCAGGAGAGTAAGAAATCTGTACTTTCTGACCAAGACATCTCTGTACTAGTAGGTAATCAAACGCGTCCTAATCAGTATTCATCCCCCAGATCATTGGAATTCAATTTGAAATCAGCAATTATGGTAAATTCTACAAGACCCTCCATCTTTGTACCAGTGGCCACTAAATTAGTATGGCGCGCGCACTGAAAGTGCAGGTAGGTACCGGTAGGTGCAATACAGCGCATATGTAGAGTAAATGAGTATTTGACTATAATAATTATTACGGTACAGCAATGTGGTATGTGTACAAGCACTCATCATACACATTCCATATGATATTCTGTGTTTGTGTAGATCTCTACGCTATGCGGCACACAGGCAGTACACACTATGTACACGGCAAATTGGGCAAGCACGTTCGTTGTCGTCTTCCAGCCTGCGTTGTGAATACCATCAGGCAAAGATATCCAAATCCTGCACCACCTCAGCCTTCTCAGGAGGCTTCCACCTGGAATTTGGCAGGGAAACACGCTTCTCCAAGGCAGGAACATGGAGGTTGCCATTTGCAACCGCTACCACCTCACACATGAGCTTGTCAACATACTCATAGCTCTTTCTGTCGTATAATTTTCTATTTGGCCACAGTCTTCTTTATGCTTTGAGAACTGGACTTTATACCTTCCTATCGCGGTCTTTTTGGTTGTGCTGTGGCGACGGTTGACATTGACGTCGTCAAGAGCTGCGAGATGTGCGTGTCCAATCATCCCCAGAATTGAGAAACGAATGCGTTTGAGAATGTAGTTTGGCACGACACTGTGATATACCTGCATGGCAAAAAGAATGTGGAGAAAACACACTTGCTTAGACAATATACTGCTGTATGAGAAAATGGAAACTTCACCGTACAGGACGACTCTTGTTCTCAATTGCATTGTTCGTTTCATTCCCTGTGTTGCCCATAAGAGACGGGAGCAAAAATGTTGCAGCAGATGTTTGTTGTCTTCTGGCGTGGAGTGGCGGCGTCATTAGATGTACACATAGTCATTTCACTAAGTATACCACTACTACAGCATATGTACTATCCTTAGGCTAGCGTGCGTGCGAGTGAGTTTGAGTATGTGGGTGCGTATGTGTGTGTGTTGTTGTGTTTGTGTGTGTGCACGCACACGCACGCGCGCGCGCATGTGGGTGATGGTGTGAGTGCATGTGTATAATATGTGTAGTTCCCACTGTATTCCTTGCACAATAGGTCTTCACTTACTTTTCTTTCGCATACAACCAGAACCCATTCCTTGTTCGAAATTAGATTTTTTTGGCCTGGTGATCCCGCAAGCGTGGAACTCGGAGTGTAATATATTTTTGTTTCACTTTACTTGCACTATTCCAAGGCTGTCCAGACTTCTAACAACTGCTCTGAGTGATATGGTATTCATGCAACCATGCCTAGAAGTAGGGTAGCTGTTATAAATAGAGACATATCCACGCAATCAACTTACACTGGTTCAGTTTGGCAGGATTGGTGAGACAGTTCGTCGTGCATACTGCCTGCACATCGCAAGCAAACAGTTCTGTAACCTTCGTACTTGCTGGGGGTCTGTCTGTTTGCGTCCCAGTTGATGACAGATGTGCACAGTTTGAGTACTGGTATGCGCAAAGTTACTGGGGTAATATCGTTCATCATATAGCTGCAGTCGGAGTTGATGGGGTGATGTACTCTTCTGATCCTGATGGGACGTATCTCGCCCTGCTTTCTCAGTTGCAGCTTGTTGAGTTCGCTTTGCTGGAGGCTCACGGTTCGGAGGGCACTGGTACACTGATGAGGGCTTTCCTGGACGGCGTACTCGTCAAAACTCAGCTCTCAAGTCCCTCTGGATCATAAATGCAGCGAGCAAACATAGCTCGTGCTGCGAAAATAGGCTTGAAATTTTCACGACGCATTGCAACATCTCGGCGCTTTGCCAGGTCTCCATCCTTTGGGAATTTGAGAAAACTAACCCCAGGAGGATGATGTGATACTGGCACAATCAACAACACAACAATTTGGCATTGCAGCGGCTCAGGCGACTTGGCAAACTACTTTCTGAAGTGACTTTCGTCCTGAAGAAAGTGAGATTCAAAATCCAAGTATTTTCGCACATTGCCACAATGACGTCACACATACATTGGTATGGGGCGTGGCTAAAATTGAAATATCTCAAGAACGCTTTCTCGTAGAGACTTCGGACCAAGACCATTCGACTCAGCGCCCGAAACTCTACAGGCTATCAAATTTTCATTTTTTCGTGGAGTTCCCCTTTAACTTCAGTTTCTTTGGTTGTATCCTTAGTTCCGTATTTTTCCCACTGATGATAGGAACAAGAAAATCGATTATGGGCTTTCAATAATATTTTTGTTATAAAATACACAGTAAATAAATGTCAAACAAGTAACGTACTTGCGTGATGTCTGCGGCCTTCATGCTATTCATAGCTATATTAAAAATTTATATGAATTTATAACATCCGTATGCTTTTTTTGTCTAGGTCATCAAGGCAAAAAAGCATAGCGTAGGGCCCTGAGCTTCCAAGCTCTCTCGTTCGGTGTACAAACTGGTGCAGCCCTTGTACAGTCGAGTTCAGATCAAGGCACATTGACCAGCAAACCACGCTGCACCTTTGATTGAAGCACACTACAGTACGGTCGGGCGCCGAAGAACAGAGCGCTGAAGAACGGCTAGAATTTCATCAAGCACAGCATACCAATGTATACATGGTGGCTCAACTGCCCATAGACTGCAATACATGAAAATAAGAACGGTCTAGGCTAGGAGTCTGACCCCCCCCCCCCCCCCCCCAGTTCTTCGGCAACCGACAGTACTGTACCGTATTCCGTGAGTGTGCGAAATCTTTGTCAACAATGCCTACCGGTACACCGTATTATCTCTAATATAAGCACGGTCCTTTATTTTTTCAATGTACCTCCGCCCCGTGCTATTAATGGAGACGTTCCTTTATTGGAGACTGTTCCATTATTATTTCAACCTCATTTCAGAGGCTTGTTGCCATGCCAAATTCATGTCAGACACACACATTTCAGGGTTTTTTTTCGCCGGTACAGATAATGAATTTACACAGTGTGCTTATAATGGAGACTGAGCACTTTATTTTTTGAATGCCGCCCCAAGGTGTTCTATTATTGGAGACGTGCTATTATTGGAGACTGTGCTTATATTAGAGATAATACGGTATTGACTGTGTGTGGCAGCACGGGCATTTTGGCAACAAGTACGTGTTGTCAGTACACTCCTGCCGCAGTTATCCTGACACCGGAGTTATGGGCACTTTGGTCCGCCAGGCACCCTTGCGACGAGTTCTAGTGAACGTATTTCTACACTTTTGACACTTTGTAGGAACGTGTTTTCTCCCCACACCGCGTACCGGAGCTCGCGCTGTCTCGCCGACTTGATTTGACACTTGACTGACTCACGACAGCCATCCAGGGCGCACAAAAAGTCCCTGGAGACTTCGGCTTGGGAAACCTGCAAGAAAGCACCACTCCCCGCTCAGTAAGCAGTATTATAATGAAGGGTGAATTCCCCAAAAATGTATAATATTATTATACATTTTCGGGAAATTCACCCTTCATCAGTTGAGCTTGAATAGGCTGAGAAAGATAGTGCCTGAAGAGCACCACTTATAATTATAGTGCTCCCCAGGCCAAACCTTCACCAGGAATACAAACTCACAGAGACTCTCCGTTTCCAGCGCGACAAACACCTCATGAACACCAGATAGCACCGTGAGTCAGTGTCGCTCCTGGACGGCGAGAACAGACGTTGCGGACCATCGGTTCTTCACAACGTTGTCACCTCCAAACCAGCTAGTCGCAAGCCAGCAGTAGGAAATAGTGCTAGCCACTTCGGCAATGATTTTATAGGATAGTGTCCTGGAGCGACAGTGACTCACGCTAACGAGGTGTTTGTCGCGCTGGAAACGGAGCGTTTCTGTAAGTTTGTATCCCTGGTGATGTTTGTGCCTGGAGAGCACTATGATACTTATAAGTGGTGCTTTTCAGGCACAATCTTCCTCAGCCTACTCGAGCTCATCTGAGGAAGAGTGAATTCCCCGAAACACTGTGTATTGAACAGGAAGTGGTGCTTTCTTGCAGGTTTGCCGAGTGGACGGTTCGATGGACTTCCCGTGTGCTCTGGATGGCAGTCATGAGTCAGTCAAGTGTAAAGTCGGCGGAAAAGCATAAGCTCCAGTGTGGGGAGAAAAGCAAACACTTTCCTATAAAATGACCGCCGAAGTCGCTACCCTTATTTCGTTTTGTCACTTTGTGTGGAAACTGGAAATAGTGACGTAATATGCCACAACTCTGGTCTTTCCCCATCAAAACATTACGACCGTGATTCAGATCGAGTTAGAGACATTTCAAAGCTGTGGGCAGTTCCCGGTCCCGGACTACTCGGATAAGAGGTAGGAGTGTACATATTAATAAGAATGTCTGGATAACTGAGAAGTTTCATTCCAGCAATCAGCGGGTTTGAATTAGCAAGGCTCCACTTGTAGTGGTAGAACATGCCATAGCTTACATGGAAGCGTCTCAAGTCCTCTACAGTACTACACATGCACTGATCCAGACCACAGTGCACTGCAACTGTATGTACATGTATGTGCATGTGCGACTGGACAAATGAAGCCAGCAGCATTGAAACGCCCGTGCAACTGAACAGTAGATGATAACTCTTCTGTTTGCAACTGCAGCCTAATGAAGTAGATGATTCTGTGTTGTGAACGACTGGTATGTCCGTGCTGTGCAGCCCTGTCCTGGATCCCGCGCTGTACTGTAGACCCCTCTACCACCAATGGCACCATGGCCACAAAGCGACAGTAAATGAACCAGATATCGCCGAGCGCGCACCGCCACGGCCACCGGAATGTATCCGAACGAGAGCACACATTCTAAGTATTCCTAATAGAGAGCTGGACTGTCACTTATGTCCGACTCACCTCTTTATGGGCCGAAAAGCCTTCGGGTTGCACAGCTTGCAAAATCCGATTAACAGTACAAACAGCAAGGTCACGCCAAGCGCAATGCAAATAATGAACCAGGAAGACACCAGGAAGCCACTATTTGGAGTAATCGGAGGCACTGTTGTTGGCTGACTCATCCCTGCGTGGTTTCTTCCCAACTCCTTCAAGCTGTCAGTTGGCAAACGGAAGTTTATATCTCCGAGAACATTCTGCGGATGCAATTCTCCAGCTGCTATTACAAAGGCAAGATAATTTTGGTTTGCTCATTCCCACTCTGAGAGCTCTTAGATTTTCGGACGAAGCCTCTAGCGAAAACAAACTGCAAAAAGCCAATGCGTAGGGCAGAAGTGTTGATTTTCGTTGTTTCGTTTTGTGTTTGCACTTTCCTGTTTCTCCTTTCACCAGTTCGGGTTTGGAAGAGTCGTGACACAGTGAAAAGTCCGTTTATGGCGCTGACACCGCGTGGAACGCGCGAAGTGCCATGCAACTACCGTACAACCTCACTTGGACTGGTACGTCGTTATCACGGTATGGTGTAAGCATCTACTGCACAACGCATGCGTGAGTCTGTCATAATGATTATGTACATGCGCATATGCATATGCACTCAGTGCAAGCTGACCTGGCGCATAGCATGGCCAGCATGGCCAGCATGGCCTGGATCACCCGGTACGCATAACGGTACTACCGTGTGGCGATACAACAAAAAAAAAAAGCCAAGCCCAAGGACATGCATTATGATCAAGAGCAGGGAGTCGTAAAATGGTATTTTACGACTCCCTGATCAAGAGTACAATCATAACCCCGGGGTTACCGGTACGAGGTGATTCGTAATTTTTTAACATTGCGTCATTTCTTAACAAATCGGTAAAATATCTCATTGCCAGCGCCTGCAAAAAGTCACGTCAAATTTCTTTTTGCCATTGCCATTGTCAATGTTCTGTCAAGTTCGCCTCCAAAATTGAGACTGATATTCCTTCAGGAAGTGACATTGCAAGAGCTTTCAGTCTGCATGTGCGCGATGTTTACGGTAAAATAGAGTATAAGAGAGTCATAGCCGCTGGTTTCAACCTCCAGTGACAATATAATTTAGCTGAAAAGGAAGCATATGATAGATACATACTGGAAACGACGCCTGGGAAGGAGGAATGGGGTGTGTTGGCCCTGGTAATGGCCAAACATTGGCAATTACTGAATTTGCTAACAGATGTTGGTCACAATTGCATATAAAATCAGGGTGATACACCTACTGCTATGCAAGCTTGAATGGCTTGTATTAGGATCAACATGATCTTGATCCAGTCTTGCTGGACCATCCTGGATACGTAGGGTCTCTTTCTATTGAAAATTGACTTGAAATTGTGCTGCTAAGGCCTATCACCATGATGTTAAGAAATGACCACAACAAATAATATGCGGAAAAATTGCCATTTTTCAACTGCCCCCTGCTTCCCAACACCAAGGATTATGTGCATAAACAACCCACCATTGCAATCTAAGGACATCAGTATTACATTTTTGGAGGAAGAAATGGAAAGATTCGCACCTCGAACCCTACGGAAGGCTTTTTTACTTTCGTGTTAAATAATGACGAATCACCTCGTACATGTATGCAGTCTTGGTAAGATGATTGATCACTGCTCCAAGCTTCCGACGCCAAAACGGGAGCCCGGGTTGGAAACACTAACAGTTACAGGGAGTATAAAAAGCTCTCTGATTGGCACAATGCTGGTACACTGTATTGTACTACTCTCTGATTGGAACCAGGCTGGGGCTGGGGAGCAGTATGGCACAGTGCGTACTACTCTCTGATTGGAACCAGGCTGGGGCTGGGGAGCAGTATGGCACAGTGCGTACTACTCTCTGATTGGAACCAGGCTGGGGCTGGGGAGCAGTATGGCACAGTGCGTACTACTCTCTGATTGGAACCAGGCTGGGGCTGGGGAGCAGTATGGCACAGTGCGTACTACTCTCTGATTGGAACCAGGCTGGGGCTGGGGAGCAGTATGGCACAGTGCGTACTACTCTCTGATTGGAACCAGGCTGGGGCTGGGGAGCAGTATGGCACAGTGCGTACTACTCTCTGATTGGAACCAGGCTGGGGCTGGGGAGCAGTATGGCACAGTGCGTACTACTCTCTGATTGGAACTACAGTTGTGGCCAAAGAAATGGCAGTTAGTTGTGAACACAACTTTGCAAGAAAAGCGTCTAGATCAAAATTGCAAAAATCCGGCCCTTGAGTCAAAAGTAGCGCCGAGTTTACCTTTCACGGGCCAAAGCGGCTCGTCCCAGTGCACAGGGGCCGCATGCGCCTTGACCCTGTTTTTGGCTCACGGGCTGGATTTTCTTGGCGTGCGGCTCTTAAGTTCAGGGTGATTGCAATTTTGATCTAGACGCTTTTCTGGTAAAGTTGTGTTCACAACTGCCGTGTGTACGCAATACGTTTGTGGTTCATAATCATATGTGCCCAAACGCGCGCTCAGGCTTCTTTCACACAAAACAGCAATTCGTGTCGTATTTTAGGGCATGCCAGCGATGCCTTTGAGTACAAATTTTTGACCCCACCAGTCCCGACCAGTTCAAGTGACTGGCATGTGTATCAGTATGTGTCTGAGACGCACGGAAAATAGAACATGTATAACATGCGATCACATGTGTTTACGCAAAATCAGCCCGCCAAGCAATATTCCAGCGATGGGATTCCTACAAATGCCTTGCTCTTTGGCATCCTACTTTCGCTGCTGCGCCTTCAATCAGTCCCGGCGGAAAGAGTCCGGCTCCATCGACGTGTGTTTACTGCTGCAGACATCATGTGTATACAGTGCGGATTGGCTATAGGGTTGTCAGCTATAGTAATATACCTCTTATAGTTACGCTATAGCCGATCCGTACTGTACTGTATGCCAAAGTACGGTATACCCTCCATATCATACACAAACTGTATGAAAGTCATGTGACTACCCTCCATATCATACACAAACTGTATGAAAGGCTAGGGTATCGCCGGACCAATCAAAAACTGCGCCCGCCACTCCTGTCAATGCAATCATTTCAACCAGGGACTCGTGGTGTAATTCCTTACACTACAGGACTGCTGGAAGCAGTTCTTGATTGGTCCGGTAGTTTCAGTGCCTTTCATAGTTTGATACTGTATAGCAGGAAAGTTTCGGACGGAATTTATTTTCGTACGGTTTCGTACACGGCCTCTTTTGTACTAAAATTAATTCCGTACTAAAATTTGTTCCTGTTAAGTTATGTACACTATACATGCGTACAACATGCGAACACGTGCATTTAGCATGCAGCACTGTACGAAAATAAAATCCGTACGAAAGGTCGAAATCAGTTCGGCTTTGTCCGAAAATATCTCCGCCCGAAAAATTTCCTGCTATACAGTAATTGATATGGCCGGGACACATGACCTCCACAGCAGCCTATTGGTGGCTAAAAATCCTAAAATGTTGGACCGGTGAAAACCTGACCAACCGGACCGGTTCCGACGGCCCTGCACTCCCTGCTCTCAACCCTTCTTCTGATTTTTGCTGTTGTCCACGACCATCGAGCGCGCCGCTCAGCACTTTACTCTTGAGTCTTGACTTCACAAACCTACAGTGCTGCTCAACTGGAAATCTGCAGTCCTGCGATTCAAATTTGCGCGGCCCGCAGCCCTGCACCAGTCAGTTACATCCCCTGAATGCTGTCTCTACAATGTAGGGCTGCACAGCGCTCGGCATGGCATTGACCCGCTTGATCGGATTTCACTGCTGAGCAGCACTGACTGTAGAAACATTAGCATGATCTATGGTGTAATTAGTGTTACTGGGACTACCAGCATCAAGATCCTGTTTGGAGCTGGATAACAAAGTCGAGTCTTGATTTTCCGTATCAGTGTCAAACCTTGACTTCCTCACCGCAACGGAAAGCTACTTTCAAGGGCGAAATCGGCCCGGCTACAAATAGTACTTAGTACTAGCTACTGTAGCAAGGACCAGGCATAGATACAGTCAAACCTCTTTAGGACCAACATGAAGGGACTGATGATATTTGTTCGCAATAACGGGAGTTCTTCTTATCCATATATTTTACCCAGTGAATACATAGGGTGTTATCCAATACAGTTACGAATACTAGTTCTTCTTATGCAAACATTGGTCTTATCAGTGTTCTTCCTAACCAGGTTTCACTGTACATGTACTGGTACTCCGAAGTAAGAGACCTGGTGTGCGGCCCATCACTGTTGGTGAGGTGTTTCGGCGTCACGCAGTTGTGAAGGCAATCATGACGGCAATTGAGAAAGATGTGGGGATTTTGTTTCTCTGCTTTCTCTTCCGACAAAGCTTGGTGGTCTTGCGATGCGTAGCAACGTGTCTCGAGCGGCAGCCGAGCGCACCTTCAACGGTGCCGGGACGCCTTAGCTCCCACGGTAGATCTCGTATACGCATAGTTGCTGGCACCTCCACACCTGAGGACGAGCGAGGTGTCTTTTGTAGGAACTTCATGCAGAGCATTGGCTGAAGGTGCTCGGGCGGCGCGCCTGGTTCAGCAGCGGCACTTGGCGGAGGAGATCCGATCTGGCCTCCCGTCCCCGCAATTATCGGGCTGCTGGTGGAGGTCGCAGATGAGGATGGCACCTCTGGTTGGCTAACAACTTTACCTCAGTCCTGCGAATACAATGCCAGGGACTGTCTTCAATAATAATCAGCACTGAAGACGGATTTCCGCGATGCTGTGTCTAATCCGCTTATGCTCTTCACTGCACCTATTCCGTTATTCAGTACTTTCATTTCTAGGGTACCCTGTAAGAAGGCCTTAAGCGGGATTCACAGAAGCTTTTTTGCGATGCGACACGCGATGCGACGCGATCTGCGACGGGCGCGTGCGATGCGAACTCGCGAAATACCATTCACAGAAGAAGTCAGTGATGCGACAACATCTTGCTGATTTGGCTACGTCACCATGATATTCGCGCGGTTTGATACAACTTGTACAAATTTATAGGCAACTCTTGAACCTTTGTACAACTTTGCTGTAGAAAAGATCAAAATCGTACGCCAAATCGTTGCGTGGGGTGCGACATGGCTGCGATTTGGGGTTTTCCCGGTTTCGCGCCTGTCGCATCGCGTGTCGCATCGCAAAAAAGCTTCTGTGAATCCCGCTTTAAGGCCGATTCACAATACAACTTTCTGCGACGCGACACGCGATTTGCAACAGTTGCGACAAGAAACTGCCAGTCGCGAGCTGTCGCAAGCTGTCGCAATGCACCTGTCGCAGAAGTTGAAGAAAGTTCAACTTTTGCGACATACACAAATGGAGTACAGTTTCGACCCTGGGTGCACGTGCAGTGCACGTGCAGTGCACGTGCATAGTGCATGAGGATGTCGCAAACATGAAGAATATTGTGAACCGTGTGTCGCTGTCGCGGCTCATCACATGTCGCGTCGCAGAAAGTTGTATTGTGAATCGGCCTTTAAGCGGGATT